CAGGTGATAGCTTTGCCACAGTCAGCTGAATTCCTACTTCATATTTCTACATCCTGTAGCATAGTAGAAAGGGTAGGGTCTAAATAATCTTTTCGGGACTCGGTTAGGACTTCCCAGAGCAATAGAGGTGGCCTGGGCCAGTCCTGGGAATGCAGTTGGCACTTAGGAGCCACTTCCAGATCTTTCGTTAGGAATTCCTGAGAGGATCCCTGGCTGCATGACTCACAGAGGCTATAAAATAAAGGAGGCATGAGGCCAAGGGAGAAGGGTGAGTTCCTGAGACTGTGTTCACCATAATCGTTTTGATGTTATGAACCTCTCCAAGGACTGATGAATGAATGTTCCACTCAATGGACTTTCAATGAGCTTCCTGCTTTCCACTGCCATCCAGGATAGCAATGACCGAGGACTCCAGTGTACATGAGACATAATCTTCCATGAAATAGGAATTTTCTTATTTACTTCTATGTATACACTAACTAATAATTTCCTGTACACCTGAGTATCTAGTTGGAATACATGAAGAAGTCCCGTACTAGCCAGGAGTGTGGCACATGAATTTAATCCCAGCACTCAAGAGGCAGAGGCAGGAAGATCTCTGTGAGTTCAAGACCAACCTGATCAACATAGCAAGTTCCAAGACATCCAGGGTGACATAGTGAGACCCTATCTCAAAAACAAAACAAACAAAAAGTCTAATACTAAACATCCTGTTATTGGTCATGGTCAAGGGAGAAACTAAGCAAAGGAAATTAGATTCAGGGATCTCATTCTTAAAGAAAAGGGGGAATATAGAAATGATAGGATGAAAGGGTAGATTACTGAATCCACCTTCAAACTAAAAAAGCAACTACTAGTCTCAAATATTTTATTTTTGTATATTGATACAAATCTAAGGTTATTTTTGTTACACTGTATATATGTTTCTACTCTTGTTTAAGATATTTTTGTATATTGTTAAAAAATTTAAGGTTATTTTTGTTATGTTGTATTATATGTTTCTATTTCTTGCTTAAGGTATTGTACTTATGTAGCTCATTTAAAAATGTAATGTAAAGTTCTAGTCCTTGAAAGCTATTTAGGATAATAAGGAAATGCAGATTAGTAGAGTTAGTCATAGATAACAATCAAACTTATAGTCATGTTAAGTATGTTTTCAAGGTCAATAAAAGACATATTTTAAATAGACAGATGATCTTCAAACACTTCAGAGACATAGAGAATATAGGATTTTGATGTTTTAATAACATAAAGCTTTTCATGACAGTAAGGCACATCTGCTCTTGGCAGCACCAATTTACTTCAAAAAATGATGATGGACATCAAAGAATTTCCATATGGAGTTTGCTTTCATTTGTGGCAAAGTTAGCCACTGGGCAAGAAACTGCCCTTGCCTCAACTGCTGACAGTGTGCTGCCCAAAGTGGACACGCAGTACACAAAAGAAGACAACTGCCAAACTTTGCCAAGACAAGGTAGGACAGTCCTTCAAAATTCCTGCTTCACAGAAAACTCTGTCAGATATTCTAGGCCCGTAGGCTGAAGATGGATGCCAGTATTACAGAGAAACCTTGGGATGACTGTCCAGACAGTCAGATTTCTCTGTCATTTCTTAGTTTTGGAAGTTGCTTGCTCTGCACTTCCTGTTTACTCAGGTAGTATTATATCCTTCTCGGGTCTCTGATGTGGTTGAAGATTAGATAATTATAGTTACAGTTTTCCTTAGTTATAATAGAAAGTAAATTAAGTACAAAACTTTAGACTTATCAAAATAAGATAGATGATAGAGTGATTACTCCAATTTTTACAAATACAAATGGACTGGACATTGTGAATATAATTTTTTTTTTTTTTTTTTTTTTTTTTTTTTTTTTTTTTTTTTTTTGGTTTTTCGAGACAGGGTTTCTCTGTGTAGCTTTGCGCCTCTCCTGGAACTCGCTTTGGAGACCAGGCTGGCCTCGAACTCACAGAGATCCACCTGGCTCTGCCTCCCGAGTGCTGGGATTAAAGGCGTGCGCCACCACCGCCCGGCTGTGAATATAATTCTTAATTGATAATTGCTCTTATTGTATACAATTTTACTGTATTAGAGTTAAAGTCTTTCCTTTTTATTTAGACAAAAAGGGGGAAATGTGGAATATTTGTACACTGCGTGAAAATACTTTGCTGTGATTGGTGTAATAAAAAGCTGAATGGTCAATAGCTAGGCAGGAGTTACAGGTAGAACTTCCAGGGACAGAGAGGACTCTGGGAAAATGAAAGGTGGATTCACCAGCTGGGTGTGGAGGAAGCTGCATGAGCAGTATGGAGAGATGAGGTAACAAGCCACACAAAAAAATAGGTTAAAATAGATGGGTAAAGTTATAAGAGCTAGTGGGACAAGCCTAAGTTAAGGCCAAGCTTTCATAATTAATAATAAGTTTCTATGTCATTATTTGTGACCTGGCAGTCCCAAGGAGAAAGGACTGCTACAACTCCCAGGAAAATCTATTTCATCTGAAACCTGTCTCTTTCTTGAGCACAAGGGAGTGCGTGCACGCGTGTGTACACACACACACACACACACACACGCACAAAGAATAACTCACTAGCTAAAATAACAAGACAATTGTCACACATCAGTCTTTACGTCATCCAGACACAGTCAGAAGAGATGGATGAAACAAATTCTCCCTCTAGGGATGTACTTTCCATCAAATCACCAACAGCACAAAAACCACTTGTACCACACTCTAGGCCAAATACCCAAAGGAAGAAAACATTCTGATCCCATCCTCCCTGGGAAAGACATGTCATTGAAGGAATATTTCCAATATTCTCACATATTCATGTTCAAGAAAAAGTGACATAATTAACTAGGTGGTGCTAGGCATGGTGGAATAAACCTGTCATCCCAGCACCCCTGGCGTGGAAGCAGGAAAATGAAGAGTGTGAGCCAGCCTAGGCTATGAGACTCTGTCTCAGGAAAGCGATAGACATGATGATGCACGTGGATGTCTACGCTGAAGAGTCAGGCTGGGTCAGAAACTGTTGGATGTGAATGCCACTGGGGCCACTAACGTCGACGGCAATGGGCAGGGTGTTTAATTCCTCAAGCATGGCGGGTGATGTTGTATTTGCTTTCACATTGAGCTGAGGTGAAATTTAAATAGATATGTTGATGCAAAATTCCTATTTTGTCACAAGCTCTCAAAAATATAAAATACGATGATACCTTCGTACAGTATATGGCTTACACTACATGACATATATATATACTATATATGTATAAGATGTATGCTTCATGGACACACAAAAGACTCTACATTTATAGCATGTGCTGTATGTACACTGCAGTGGAAATGTAAACAGGTCTAGTAGATTATATCTAAATTACTATATATGAGTAACAGCTGTTTTTTATTAACACTGACCTCCGAGGACGAATTTGAAATGATAATGTGGCAGCACAAATCACAAATCGGATTGCAAAAGATTTTTCAGCAACAGCAGATGTTTACAGAAGACTTCATAGGGGAAAAACTTGCTAGCGCTTGGGTCAGGTGACTGGAAAGCAGGGGGAGGAAGTCTGCCTCCTGCCTGGGTGCCGGTGGCTTTGCGTTGGATAAGCAAGAAACAGTATGAGTCACTTTGAACCAGCAAAGACCAATTTCCTTTCCAGAATTAGGAAAGTGAATTCTAGTCTAGCCAGCCACAAAAGCAGGATCGTGGACAGCTCTGCTTGCTTTCGGTGGACCTTAGTGGGGAATGGAGTTCGGAACTCCATTCTGTGGGTGCCTCTGCTCTGCACAGGGTGGGCGATTTGCTAGAGGGAAAGTCTTTGGGGAAGTGTGGGAAGCAATCCAAAGGAAACTGAGCCATCCATGCCCTCCTGCGCATTCCACAGTCTCCCGGGGAACTAACGCCACTGGCACCCTTTATTAATTATCAGCTGCGGACACACACCTATAGAACATGCATTGATTTATTCAGTTTCCTAACAACCCACCCTGAAGCATCTGGGAATCTGGTGAAGAAATTCTGCAAACAGCATTGGACCTTCCTGCCTAACTTAAGACCCACGGTCAGAAGGTCACAACCCTTCTTTTGATGTACCCTATACTAGTCTCAAGTCCTCTCCTCCTTCAGGCTCTCAAAAGGGCAACTTTCGTACAAAAGCAGTCCAGCTCAGGCTGCGAAAACCTGTCTCCCGGGATGTTGGAAGACGCGCGCTCTCCACTCGCTTGGCAGGCGCGGGCGGCCTTCCGGGCTGTCCTCGGGGACCTTGCCCGCCCTGCGTGGCGATTGTGCAAGCGCAGCTTCGGGCCGCTGCAAGGCCGGCTGCAGCCTGCAGGAGGGCAGGGAGGCGCGCTCGCTGCGCACCCGCTGAACCCTGGGCTCGACGCGCCTTTCCTGGGTTATCTCCGGGGTGGAGTCCACGGTGCGCCCGCCAGGCGAGCAGCGCATCGGTCACCCGAGGCCTGGGTGCCCTCACTCACCTTGCTGACTCCATCCTCTTCCCATTCCCGCCTCCCCCCCCGCCCCGCGTCCCTCCCAGCTTTGCCAGCAGGTCCCCCTCCGCCCTACTCAGCGTGCTCATTGGTCATCCAGGCATGCCTTGTCTCCATAAATACGAGGTCCCTGAGCCTAGGTGCTTGAGGAGGCACAGCAAGGTACATCAGACCCGGGAGCATCCCTTCTACCCTCCTTGACACCCTGTGGCTTCAGACCTTAGAAGTCGTATTTGCAGACCCACAGAGGACCAAACCTCGGCTGCTTTTCTCCAGCCCCTGTGGCTAGTTCAGGGCAGGCACCTGCGCCCCACGCCGCTGAACCTTGCAGCATCCCTGGGCGTCTGCCTCTTTGGAATCCCTCCTGCTCTGTACCACTCCACCACACGCGCGGGTTCTGTTTGCCTCTCTTCCCTAAATCGCCAAGACTTCAGAACCCAGCGGCACCTTCGAAACACTTCACCCCTTCCAGTCCCTGCTCCTCCTCGTGTCCCACGTGTCTCTTGCTACCATGAGCTGCCCCATTGACAAAAGGCGTTCCCTGATCGCCTTCCTGAGCCGGCTGCGCGACCTCGGGCAGCCCCCTAGACCCGTGACATCCAAGGCGTGCACTCCCCGCGCGCCAAAAGAGGTGCCCCTCTGCCCGCTGGTGACAAGTGGTCAGAGTCGGGACGCCACCTCCCTGCCTGGACCAACCAACTGGCCATTGCTAGGCAGTCTACTGGAGATTCTTTGGAAAGGTGGCCTGAAGAAACAGCATGACACGCTGGTAAATAATTCGTCACTCCCCTCTTCCCTGTTCCTTCCAGTCGGGGTGGTGAGGGGAGCTCAGGTGACCGGGCAGCAGCTCACGGAAGAAGCGCCTGGGGCACCAGAGGATGGGCGCTGATGGCATTAGGTCTGCCCCTCTGCAGGCAGAGTACCACAAGAAGTACGGCCAGATATTCCGGATGAAGCTGGGCTCCTTCGACTCGGTGCACCTGGGCTCGCCGAGGCTGCTGGAAGCGCTATACCGTACGGAGAGCGCATATCCTCAGAGACTGGAGATCAAACCCTGGAAAGCTTATCGTGACCACCGCAACGAGGGCTACGGGCTGCTGATCCTGTGAGTGCCCTCAGCAGGGTGGAGGCGGTGGGGGGCAGGACATACAGGGCAGTAGGGAAAGGGAGGTGGGTAGTTAGAGTTTCCTAGGGTTGGACTTTCCTTACACAGAACGAATACAGAAGCACCTGCTCTACTGAGCGCCGGTGCAATCCTCAAATTGTAGTGTAGAGCTGGGTCCCCCAAAGAGCCAAAACATGAGGGGATGCACACATACCTGCCGCACCACCAGGACATACCCAAAGCTCCAGTCTCCTTTTATTTGGGTTTCACCTTCCTGGTATCAGTTTAGGCAAGATCTAACCCTAATGTCAAACAAAGTGTTTTAACATTTACTTGGCAGCTTCATCCGTGTATAGAATGTCGCTTTCATCCCGCGTCTTCTCTTTGATCCCACTCCCGCTCCCGCTGAGACTCTCCTTGGTCCCAACAACTCCCTCCTGTTTTCATGTCGCTTCTGTTGGCGCTTATGATTCCCTGAGGTTGCTTGCGTGAGCATGGGTGGGATTATGTAGAGCACTGGCAACCCGTTGGAGCCTACACCTCTGTAGAAACCTGACTATCCCTTCCCCAGCAACCACTAACAGCCCTCAGCTTCCCAGGGAGCAGAGGGATGCTGTGAGGCCCTCTCGGTCGGTCCGTGATAGACAGCCGCGAATATTCACGGGATGCTAAGATTCCTGAGAATTTCCCAGGCGACCTTCAGGGTTAGTGTACTCCTGGTGCTCCGCAAATGGCTGCGGAGCTTCTTTCCTGGCGCCCTGAACACAATCCTTCTCCGCAGGGAAGGAAGAGAGTGGCAGAGGATCCGAAGCGCCTTCCAAAAGAAACTAATGAAGCCGGTGGAGATCATGAAGCTGGACAATAAGATCAATGAGGTTTGCGCGCTGGGGCAAGCTTTCCCCGGGCTCCCCAGGACAGAGAGCAGCTAATTAGGCTTTGGGTCCCCGCTCTAAAGCACAAAGAGAGAAGAATCATGCATCATGGATGATTCAGGAGGTTGCTGTTTCCCTCGATCCTCCACTCCATTCTCTTCCCCACCCCCAACTCATCTTCCTTTCTCTACTCCAAAGCCTCCTAACCCCCACGGAAGGAACAATTAGAAGCTGATTTTGCGGTTCCGCGGCCTTCCACCAGCTACTAGTGCGCACCGGCCTTGTTATTTAATTCTCCTAAGGTTTTAGAGCCCCTAATCCACACTGTTGCCGTGAGAATTAAGAGATGATGCTTGTAAAAGTCCTAGGCGCAACATTTGAGGGGCCTTTGCAGTCGGAATAGGTGCAGAGGCAAAGAATCTGGGGGTGGGAAGGGGCGCAGGGGGAGCACTCCTGTAGACCAGTCTTCTGAAAATGTAGAGGAATGGAATGGCATGATGTGTCCAGAGATTTCACATCCCATGCTCATGAATGATTCAGAAAAGATTCTGGACAATGGGCAAACCTTACCCTTAAGAACGACTATACCATGCTAAAGGATTTTAACATTAGGATCTTAACAACAGCATTTAGCCAACAGGGGGCCACGTGGCAGGCTTAAGTGTATAGTGACCTCTTTTTACTCTTGTTCACATTGGAGGTTGTTTTGAGTTTGACCTGGACCCAGATGGGCTCATACAGCATAGGTTTTGCAAGCTTAGGCACTCCTAGAAGCCAGATAATTAATATAACACAGTAATGCAAGCCCCAAGCAGGACGTTTAGCAAGCAACATAGTTAAGCCTTTTCTAGAGGGGACAGCTGCTCTGGATCCAGCTAGCTACTCTCATGTGGCGGTGTACACCCAGTGTCATCTTGTGGTAGCAATAGGGATAATGTTAATAAGACAGGTCATGGGAAATCCATACATGTGTGTGAACTTTCTTTGTTTTTTGTTTTTTCTTTTTCTTTTTTCTTTTTTCTTTTTTCTTTGAGACAAGCTGTCAAAGAAACTTCTGCTGGCCTGGAGTTTACTATGTAGACCAGGCTTGCTTCAAACTCATAGAGATCCATCTGCTTCTGCCTCCCAAGTGCTTGGGTTAAAGGTGAACCCCATCCTCAGCTTCTTTCTTTCTTCCTTTTTTCCTTTCTTATTTCCCTTGACTTCGTTTAAAAGCTAACAAATTCAAATTACCTTTAAAATGCATTACATAAGCAAGCTAAACATGCCCATGTGTTACCTGTCGGCCTTATGACCACTCCTCCTTGTCTCAGGTAGAGCTTGGCAGGTCATCCGTTATGTGGACAAGTGACTTAGTGACTTAGCATCTCTGTCTCTAAACTGTTTCTCATCTGTGAGTGGCAAATGGGAGCAACGGCTCCTGCCTTAGGAGGTAGCAGTGCAGATCAGCTAAGGTAACACACTCTGTAACCACGTGTGGCCCCAGGCACACTTCACACTTGAGTCACCTCGGGCTCTGGTTTTGAAGGTTGGCAGCTAGAGACCTTGTATGGCTGGCTGTCCCGAAGTTGCCGAGTTATCTACTGAGGGAGCTACGTCCAGAACTTGCAGGCAGATCCCTGGAAGCTCATTGGCCACCCAGGTCAGCCAAATTTCAGAACTCCGATTCAGTGAGAGACCCTGTCTCAAAAATTAGGATGTAGGGCAACCACTACCCTCCACACATGAGAACATTGGCACATGCCACCCCCACACAAATGTACATACATACATCTCTCACACACAAATATGTGAACACAAGACAATTTCCAGAAATACCCTTAAGACGAGCCTGAAGCTTGAATTTCAGTGACTACGGGAAGAGTTTAGGAAATGGCAAGACCTGGAGAAGGCAGTGTGTAATTAGTGCCAATCACCACCGGCAGTAGAGATATCCTCCTGAGCTTCAACTGTCTCTGTCCCTCTGGTGACATAAAACTTTGTCTTTCCTGGTTGCTTCCTTTTAAGGTCTTGGCTGATTTTATGGGAAGAATAGACGAGCTGTGTGATGAAGGAGGCCGCATCAAAGACTTGTACAGTGAACTGAACAAATGGTCATTTGAAAGTAAGTTGACTTGATGGTCTTGTTCACTTAAGTTTGCAAGAGATCTGGGGGATAAAGCGCAGCTCTGCTCACACTTCCATGGTGATAGATTGTCACTATCACAGCTAGGACAAAGCCACACAAACCCATTTGAGTTACGACTTGCACTGTGGGTTGTTTATGAAGTCATCCAACAAACACTTATTAAACAAATACTGTGTGCCAGGCACTGTTAGGTGCTAGGGACACAGACGGGAACAAAATGGGCCTTACATTTGGCTTCACAAAGCTACAATTCTAGAATGACATTTAAAGGCTAAGAAGGATCAGAAGCATGGACCTTGGTGAGAGGAGTCCTCTCCACTAAGGAGACGAAGGTCAGGTAAAGAGGAAGTTAGAGAGGCCTCTTTGGATGAGTGTTCCAGACAGTGGAGTCAGGAGTGCCAAGCCCCAGCCAGGCACAAGTGTGAAGGCTGTGGGGTCCGTTCTTAGCGTGTTAACTTAAGGCAAAACAAGAGCAGCTGCCCTCCCCTTGCCTCTGCACAGACAACAGGAAATAGACTCCTCTGCGGCCTTTCCATCAAGAAAGCAGAGAGAGTGCTGGGAGGAAACTCAGCGGAAGAAAGTTTGTGTGCAAGCGTGAGGGTCTGAGTTCAAATCTCCAGAACTCACACAAAATCAGACATAGGAACACAACACTAATCCCAGTGCTCCGATGGCAAGATGGGAGGCAAGGAGAGGGGACGCAGATATTATAGAATTCAAATTTTCTCTGTGTAAAAAGTTTCAAAGACTAAGAAATCTTATTTGAAAGTAGGTTGAACCTAAACATAATTATTAAATGGAAAACAGAACAGAGAAGCACCTGTCCTGTGCTAGCCCAGTGCCTGCCAGGTAGTGGGAACTTAGCCCCTAGCTCCTCCTTTCCCATCCCCTCTTCTCATGGCGGCTTTCAACATCCCGTGTTTGGCAGTAGAAGCCAATGACTACTCCAACACCACGGCTGAGTGACAGCAGCACAGACATCTGACCCAGGGAGTCACCTCTGTCCTCACCTCCCTGTGACTGATGTCAACAGTGTGTCTCTCACCAGAAGGATAGAAAGCTCATGGACCATTTCTCCTGGGAATGACATCTGGAGAGAAAAGCGAGTGTCCCTGCCCTCAGCTCTCACTCTGTGAAATTTTGTTTTCATTCTAGAAGAGACCACAATGTCATGAGACACAGAGCTCGGTCTTTAATAGTCAGCTAATCACAGACTCTGGCTACAACTGAATAACAGCAGTGATTATTTTCAATGACAGGTATCTGCCTTGTGTTATATGAGAAGAGATTTGGGCTCCTTCAGAAGGACGCAGAGGAAGAAGCTCTGACCTTCATTATGGCCATCAAGACGGTAAGCAGTCCCTCAGGACAGCTTAACAAAGGTTGTCTCCATGTCTCCCAAGGAGGAGTATACACACTTATGTATTTGAATAGCTAATTTATTTACTTTGATATCTATATATACATGTGTACCAATCACAAACATAAAAAAGCCCATATTTATCAGTTTAGGCCAAGTTATTTTACTACAGAAAATTATTCTAAATGTACTTAAGGTATCTCAATTAATGGTCAGTTGGTTAAAAGGTATCTTTTAAAGTTTCTGAATGTTTCAGATTTTACAGTTTTGAATGGTTTAAGTAATTTGAGATATCATAAGACACAGTGTAATTGATTTGGGATTAACTAAGGTTATGTGGCATCAGAAACTAGAGTCAATAGGTAAATTATAGTTTTTCTGTTCTTTCTTCTTCCTTTACAATTAGACCATTAAAAACTGGGACTGGTGGTACTAGCCTGTCATACCAGCTGCGTGGTGGAGGTGCTGAGGCAGGATAATTACAAGTTTGAAGCTGGTTTGGGCTAGAGTGAGTGCAAGGACAGGTTAGACAATTTAATGATACTTTGTCTCAAAATAAAACATACAACAAAATGAATACAGAGTAGCTCTATAGTGGATGCTTTTTAGTAACCACAAGGCCCTGAGTTTGATCCCCAATATAACCGTGTGTGTGTGTGGGGGTGTGTGTGTGTGTGTGTGTGTGTGTGTGTGTGTGTGTGTGTGTGTGTGTGAAGGGTCATGAGACCAATACTTTTTATTAAATACAAAAAACAAAGCCATCTTTGAAATGACTAAGAGAGCCGGTGGGCCTTTGAATCCCACACTTTGGAGATGCAGGAGTGGTCTGGTTTAGGCTCCTCCCCCTCCAAGAGAACACTGGCTTAGAGAGAGGAATCCAGGGTCCAAGTTCTTCTGTTTCTTCCAGATGATGAACACATTTGGAAAGATGATGGTGACCCCCGTGGAGCTGCACAAGAACCTCAACACCAAAGTGTGGCAGGCACACACTCTGGCCTGGGACACCATTTTCAGATCAGGTGAAAGGGCTCTCTTTCCCGCTGTCCACTACAATCCAGTTGCCCTGACCCTATGCCTAGGAGAGGCCTTGTGGGATCTTCCTGACTGAACCATCAAGGTCCTCCCATGGCATTGCTTCTACTCTCTACAGCTTCCCACACTCACGATCATGGGGGGAGGGACAGCGGGAGGCAGCGCTCTGTCGTCCTCTCTGCAAGCTGGAGGTGGCTGAGTTCATGTGTGGTGGCTTAGCCCTGTGTGTCACCACCTTTTCGTCCTTGATTCCCCCCTCTCTGAAATAATGAATGACAGTGCTTCCCACTTTGGTACAACTTTTAGTGTGCCTAGTAGAACATAAACATTGGGTATATATGACATTTTGGTGGTTAGGGCTATTTCTGCTCCATGATACCAGGGTGTTAGGAGTTGTGTATACGTTTAATCCTTACACAAACTTCCACAGTCAACTCTTCCAAGAGTCCCCAAGCAATGGTCCTGAGACACACTTAAGCTTTCCCAAGATGACAGACCAGGCCATGCTTCAGGACTAGGATGCCAACTGCACCACAGGCAGTCACCCTGCCTACCAGTTCCATGGTGATCTTAGTTTGGCATCTGCCTGCATAATGAATTGAAGTGAGGAAGACAGTTGTCTGGATGTGTTTCATAAATGCTACATGTTTTAAGTGTTACCAGTATTTCCAGGCACGGTACTTGTATATGTGTTTAGTAATATCTGGATCCAAGTTTGGAATATGCACATCAGGCCAGTTCTCATCCCCTCTCATGCTGATCCCTTCTGAGCATGGAGCTTTTATTCATCAAAATGTGACTACAGACCAAGAACACCTGCCCCAAAGCTTGATGGAAATGCATACTTCAAGACCATACACAGTGGTGCATGACTTTAGTACCAGCACTCTAGAGACAGAGACAGGCATATATCTGAGGCTGGCCTGGTCTACAAAACAAGTTTCAGATGTGCTAGGGCTACATAGTGAGTCCCAGTCTGAAGAAAGAGAAAAAGAAGACAGACAGACAGATACAGAGAGAGGAGAGAGGGAGAGGGAGAGGGAGAGGGAGAGGGAGAGGGAGAGGGAGAGGGAGAGGGAGAGGGAGAGGGAGAGAGAGAGAGAGAGAGAGAGAGAGAGAGAGAGAGAGAGAGAGAGAGAGAGAGAGAAACTGGCTTTAGGCTTCCCAATCCTTGATTCTGAATCAGCACTTTCGGAAGATGCCCAGGGGATCGTGAGAAGTCCATCCATGTTGGCCTTGACCAATCCTTGCCAGTGTATGGAGAATATTCACTAGATACCTATCTAGCAAATTCAGAGTCAATGTTCCTGAAAAGACTCAGTGTTGCAAGATTTTCTTGGGCTCTTTTCCTCATCCAAATTTTCAGGCTCTCTCCTTTCTCTCCTCTGTCACAGTAAAGCCTTGCATCGACAACCGTTTGGAGAAATATTCCCAGCAGCCTGACACAGATTTCCTTTGTGATATTTACCATCACAATCATCTCTCCAAGAAAGAACTGTACGCGGCTGTCACGGAGCTCCAGCTCGCTGCAGTGGAGACGGTGAGGGGAGTCTGGGACTTGGTTGGCTAAACAATGAGTTTTTAAGTAGCCATGGGAATCATTCTCTCCACCAGAATTACCCGAGTAGCTACAGCCTCACAAAAACCAGTAGTAAGCATCTCATAGTGAGCGCTGTGGGGGAACTCAAAGCATGGCCTCTTGGTGGTTAAGGGCATGGTAGGGACTTTGTGTGATAACATATGCTCCAATGATAACATACTGAGTAGGTTCTGGCCAGCACCATGGCAGATATCAGAACTGCCATAGGAATTTGGAAACAGTCAGGTACCCATGCTCTGGCTAGGTGACTTAAGTTTCCCAAGCAAAGATTGGAGAGAGAGAGCTCAGTTGGTAATGTACTGTCTGCGCATCCATGAGGACCTGATAGGAAAAAAGCCAGGTGAGGTGGCCCCTATGTGTAATGCCAGGTCTGGGGACATGGAGAAAGGAGGATGCCTGGGCCAGACAGACTAGCTAGTCCAGTGAGAGACCCTGCCTCAAAAAATAAGGTAGAGAATAGTTAAAGAAGACGCCTGATGTCAACCTCCAGCCTCCACATGCATGTAAATACATGTGTCCTGACATATGAACACACACACACACACACACACACACACACACAGAGTTGTCTTTTAGTAATGACTCAGACTATCCCCCACAGTGACTACCTGTGTCTGATCATATTTAAAATAAGATGAAATAAAAATTGGAATACAGTCCTCCAGACCAATAATACATTTAGTGCTTAAAAGTACAATCAAGATGAGCTTGGGATAGCTTGATTTTTATTTAAATGCAACATCTAGTGTGTAATACACCAGCGGATTCTCTTAGTAGATTCTCCATGCAGCCAGCCGCCTTCCATTCATGTCTTTTTTTTTTTTTTTTTTTTGAGACAGGGTTTCTCTATGTAGTTTTGCGCCTTTCCTGGAACTCGCTTTGTAGACCAGGCTGGCCTCGAACTCACAGAGATCCGCCTGGCTCTGCCTCTCGAGTGCTGGTATTAAAGGCGTGCGCCACCACCGCCTGGCTCCATTCATGTCTTATGCTGTCACTGGTGTGACACAGACTCCTCAAAGGCCCACATTCCGTGCACCTTAAAGTGTCCAGGCAGAAACCCTCCCAGTTGACTGCTTTTCTGCATTCCCCCTTTCATGGCGCTTCTTGAAGGAGAAAAGGCAGAGTTTCTGTATTGCAGACAACACCTCTCTTTCTGCCACTTGCTCCAGGAGATCGACAGAAGTGGTAATTGATCTGATCTCCCTTTCTGATTCAATGGCAGGCCTTTCCACAAAGCCACAAAGGCCATTGTTCTTCTGTTGGAAGGGAAGTGTGAATTCTGTGGCTGTGCTTTGTCTACAGCATCCTTCCAAGAACACAAAAGGGCACAGGGCACATGTAAGGTGGTCAACAAATGCTTACTGAGTAAATAGAGGATGAGAACTGCAGAGCACCTACTATGTGCCAGGCCCTTAAAAGTCCACTAGGAATGATAGGCAAAATCTTGTTCCTCATAGAACTGAAATGCCAGTGGGGAGGAGAGACAGCGGATGTGAACACACACACACACACACACACACACACACACACACACACACACACACACACACATCACTATTCAGATAGTGGTATACACCATGAAGGAACATTTTTTTTTTTTTTTTTTTTTTTTTTTGGTTTTTCGAGACAGGGTTTCTCTGTGTAGATTTGCGCCTTTCCTGGAACTCGCTTTGGAGACCAGGCTGGCCTCGAACTCACAGAGATCCGCCTGGCTCTGCCTCCCGAGTGCTGGGATTAAAGGCGTGCGCCACCACCGCCCGGCATGAAGGAACATTTTTAAAGCAAAGGAGTAAGCTGGCCAATTTATGCTTTGCCAAGTGAACTATGGCTGGTGGGTGGAGAGTGAACTTATGAGAGAGAAATTAGCAATGAGAGGCCAGTTAAGGAGATGGCGCCCTCCCTCCCGAGGTCATACCAGGACAGGCTGAGCCCTTGAGGTTTCCTAACCCACTTCCCCTGGAATGAAGCTCTGCAGTTTTCTGAAGGGCCCAGACAGTATACCCTGGCTGTGGTGAAAGCTGGTTACCCAGCCCCATGGAGCACTATTTGACACTTGTGGTGAGGCGCTTGCTGATAGGGTGATCCACCTGACCCATTTCTTTTTCAGTCCTGTTTATTCTGAAAGTCACATTGGGTGCATCAGAGAGGTTTGATTGCCTTTAATTTGGAGGCCACACCCTTTTCCTGTTCTGTAATGATGCCATCCACAGCTTATTTGCAGCTGAAGCCACTGACTCTATGACATGAAGAAGCCTGCCTGGGAGGCATGTTCTTCCAAAAATAATAAACACCAGTTGGCTCTGACCCATCTTGTACTCTGCTCATTAGTGTGAGTGGGTCATGGCACTCAGTCACAGCGTCTTGGTGTCTGCAGGGGGAGGACATGGCCACGGTGTTGAGGAGACCACTCCGTTTAAATCAGCTGAAGAACAGCCATGTGCCTCTGACTCCTGTGGTGGTTGCTCCTCAAACCTTCAGAAAAGACACCAAAGATACCCTTAAAAGGCCATCAGTCTTTGTCAGAAACAGTCTCTAGCTCCTTAGCATACTCAATTTGATGTTAGAATGTATCCCCTGCCCCCCCATCCTTTTTTTTTTTTTTTTTTTGCAGGGTGCCTCATTCTCCTATGAAGGCATTCTGCACATGGGTAAAACCCTGATAATGCCTTCTCATGTTCATGGTTAATTTAGGATGTGGCCAAAAGAACTTTTATTAGATTCCAGAGAGGCAATGTGTGATGCATTTAATTGCGTTGGGAAAATATCTTTGGAAAACCTCTCACTGGCATCACTAGAGCTTTTCTGTCCTTTCTTTACTCACTTTTACACCAAAATTTACTATTGAACAAGTTCTAGTTCCATTTTTATGTTGAGGCCACCAGGGAGTCACATTTAGGTCTGAGGGGGGAAAAGAGAGAGAACATCTTTGTATCTTGCTCCGGTTTCCCCCTAGTGGTGACATCTGATGTAGCAGTAAACTATACCACTACCCAGAAATGACCCCCAAGAGTCCCCAGATTTACCCAGCCTTTGTCAGCTGCACATGCAGCTGTTTGTACTCAAACAGTTGCATCCAACCTTAGTTCTAAACGTGACCATTTGTGTGCCTGGTGGCGGTTTGAGCCCAGTGATCGGCAGACTCTCTTATCTGCGGCCATTTGCCTTTCAGACAGCAAATAGCTTGATGTGGATTCTCTACAATCTATCCCGGAACCCCCAAGTGCAGCAGAGACTTCTTCTGGAAATCCAGAGCGTGTTGCCTGGGAACCAGGCACCACGGGCGGAGGATCTGAGAAGTATGCCCTACTTAAAGGCCTGTGTAAAAGAATCCATGAGGTAAGGACACACCTCTGAGCCCATACATGAGAAAGCGTTCTCTTTTGCTTTTTTTGGCAATACATGACATCACTAGAAAAGGATTCACTTAGAACATAAAAATGATACCTCAAAATGGTTCCCATCAAGATACCTCAAGATACCTCCCCTGGCTGATTATATGCATCTATTAAACTAAAGAGAAGGGCCTTGGGGTGTATCGATGTTTATATTACTCACTTTCCAAACCTTGTGGACCAATCCTACAGCTTGCCTCTCATGGATGCTGGTCCGTAGGAGGGAGTCATCTATGGTTGGGGAGTTGGAGATGAAGGCTGAGGAAGAAGGCACAGAGACAGACATCTCTGTCTTTTAGCCTCTGGCTCTTCCTGGGAAGTAAATCTCCAGCCTTTGGATCTCCTTTGTGGAGAGCAGCCAGCAGTAGAGCAGAAGAAATGCAGGCTTTGGTGAAGCATGGGATGCATGCAGATTGAACGGGACACAACAATTGGAGCCACTTGCCAGACTTACAGGGATTTAACTAATGTGATAAGAAACAAGAGACATACACATTGAGAAGGAGGGATTTCCTTTAAAAAAAACAACATAGTTCTTTGAGGATGCCATACAATATGTCTTGATCATATTCACTTCCCTCCCCCAACTCCACCCAGATCCATCCCCCTTCCTTAGTCACCCAACTTTGTGTCTGCCTTTTTCTGCCATCAGGTCTGATTTGTGTCACCATACCTTCTTGAGTGTGGAGGGAGGGCAGTTGATATGTCAGGGCTAATCCCTAAAGAAAACCTGGCTTTCCCCCTCCCAGCAGCTGTCAGCTGCCAATAGCCCCTCATGGTAAGAGAGAGGGTTTCCTCTCACCCGGACTGAACTCTGACAGACTTCTGCTTCCCATTCTGAGTCTATTCCTCACACCACACAGACACAGTGTGGTCTGGGGCCACCTTTACAACTCTGATTTTGGTTTTTCAGGCTTACCCCAAGTATACCGTTCACATCTCGGACTCTCGACAAACCGACAGTTCTGGGTGAATACACTTTACCCAAAGGAGTAAGTAGAATTCGCATATCTGTTCCTCAGCAAAGCTTGACAGGATTACACTTCCCAAGTGTTTGTCACAGGAGAGCATTCATTCTGGAGATCCATAGAAGGATTCACCCTCTTCATCTGAAAAATGGAGAGAGGAGGTGGTCATGAACACGGAACACAAAAATGTGGAGCTCTGGGGGCAGGGGGAGCGTTTCAGCAGGTCAGAGCTCTTGCTGCACAAGTATGAGGTTTGAATCCCCAACACTCGTGTAGAAAACCAGCTGTGGCTGTTTGGGCCAGCGTTGTTTGGGGCAGGCAGAGCAGGGTCAACGGGCCTGGCTAGCTGCCAGCTTAAATCCAGGTTCATTGACAGACCCGATCTCAAGGGACTGAGGTGGAGAGAGATAGAGGACATCAGGGGCCCTCCTCTTACCTCTGCATGTGCACGTGGGTACAAGTACTACCCCACACATATGCACATTTATCATTCTTTCACTAATATATGTCAAGCAATACAACCATCATTATTGTGTTTCCGTGAATTATTTTTGCTTCTGATTATCTAAAAGATCATCTCTTTCTGTGTGTTTTTTAGACGGTGTTAATGCTAAATACCCAGGTACTGGGTTCCAGTGAGGACAATTTTGAAGATTCCAAGCAGTTTAAACCTGAACGCTGGCTTCAGAAGGAGAAAAAGATCAATCCCTTTGCCCATCTCCCATTTGGCCTTGGGAAGAGGATGTGCATCGGGCGTCGACTGGCTGAGTTACAGCTCCACTTGGCTCTTTGCTGGGTAAAAGTCCTCACTGGGTTTCTACAACCACATTCTGGGCTATTCTACAAAGCAGGGGGAGAGAGAGTTAATTCTGCTTTTGGCTCAATGTGTGTTGCAGATCATTCAAAAATATAAGATCATGGCTACAGATGATGAGCCTGTTGAAATGCTGCATCTTGGCATCATGGTACCCAGCCGGGAGATACCCATTGCATTCTGTCCACGGTAGAATGCTGAGGTGAGTATTTGAGTCCCTGTTGCCCTCAGGTGCCTTACCTGACCGGGAGTGAGCCAAGTTTGGAAGTGTCTAGACTTATCTTTATTTTCTTCTTTCCTCCCTCCCTGCTTCTCTTCCTTCCTTCCTTCCTTTCTTTTATAAAGATTTTGTTTTGAGTGTGTGTGTGTGTGTGTGTGTGTGTGTGTGTGTGTGTGTGTGTGTGCCACAAGAGTGTGTGTACCCACAGAAGTTAGAAGAGGGCATCAGATCCCCTGGATCTGGAGTTATAGATGACACTGTGAGCTGCCCGAATGACATGGGTGCTGGGAACCAAACTCAGGTCCTTTGCAAGAGCGGCAAGTGCTCCTGACCATGAAGCCATCTCTCTAGCCCCACACAATACCTCTTTTTTAAAACTACTGAACTGTTTTCTTCCTTTTAACTTGGGCCCAAGTATGTTACTCAAGCCCTGTGCTAAGAAATCGCTTCTGTAGTAAACTCTGAGCTTTGTAAATGTGGTTGGTCCCTCCTAATACACATTACAATGAGCTCAAAACCAGTGATGTGACCAGAAGTGAGATGGAGAAACTATTGTCTGATGTGGACGGTGACACCCCCAGCCTGTGGCTTGACAGGCACATGTTCGTGCTTAAAGCCAGGCTCTCTCACTCCGTCTTTCCAACAATGTGATTAGGGTCAAGAGAAGGAGCCATGGAGGTGGGTGAATTATTTGGAGTAACACAGTTATTGTTGGAGCTTCTGATTGATGTGCCAAGAAATACAGAAATAATTTCATGGTGTCTGTAAGTGACAGAAAATGTGCCAAATTCTGAGAGACCACATGAAGTGGGGTGGCATAAGAATTGTTAATTATAAGCCCCAAGGCCAGAGTGCACATTTCACTCAGTGAGTTACACTTTTGGCAGATACCTGTGATAATTTTAATTTTAGCTTTTTATTTTCTGATGATTGAGACACCCCATGTGACCTATGATGGATGTCTCCTTGATTTTCCAGACTTTTTTTTCCACCAAGATCAAGACCAGCAATCTTTCCCTTTCTGCAAGAATGGTGCTTATGGCTTCGGTGTTCCTAGATGGCAAACTTCAAGGACCTGAGCGTGGGACAGCCTGCAGAGCATGGCTCACATTGCCCTCTGTGGACTATTCTAGAAACTATTGTCTAGACAATGATGTTTACTAAGACCATCGACTCAGGGAAGCACATGAAGTGTGGGAACACCAGGCCCCCTCTAGACCTCACCACTGGTTTACATCAGCCAATCAGAGCCCTCCTTGCTTCTGTGGACCTACTCAAGAGCCCGCTGCCTCTCCCTCTTCTATGATACCACTGTGAAGCTGACAGTCAGCCATTCTAGAAAAAGTTGCTAAGTATTTCTGCTACCATACCCAAAGAAGCGTCTTTAATTCTCATTTCCATCTCATAAAGAAAGACCTACTATGGCTTAATTGTCTGGGGATCTGAGTGGGTCTGACAGCCCATTTAGTATTATAACTCTGTTTCATGAAATATTTACAGAAATGCCAGCTGCCGACAGAGCTAAACGTTAGTTAAAGGCTCTCATACAGCTATTTTCCCTGCATACAAGGGGAAACATGGTTGGGGATTAGAGACTGTCTATTTTAAAGAAGTTCCTTAGTGAAGCCAGCTCCTTGCATAAAAATGTCTTGTCCATGCAGAAGACTCTGTAATTTTTCATTTCTTTGGTATCTTTTCTCTGTAGCATTGGCGTGTGCATGGACAAATCAGCAGTTTCTAAGCTGTGCATGTGTTAGCACATGTATGCAAGTGTGTGTGCGTGTGTGCATGTGTGTCTGTGAGCTCTGAGAGTACTTTGCTTCAGTTATGCCTTTCCAGAAAAGACATAGGGTACCCAATTTAGGGTATGCAGTGCGGGACTATGTCCCAAAATTTACACACAGCTTAAAGGTACTCATTGCAACTTTAAGAATAGGATCTTCCATGCCTTAATTTCTTTATCTATTCAAAGTGATAATGGCAATACATGTGTACTTAAAGACTACCTATGCAACACGTGTAGTATGACTTGAACCCCCTAGGAAAACACAATTTCATCAGTGCAAAATGTGGAATTATGCACTACCCACAAAACTTAAAAATGTTTACATACAACTTGTGCATTTTCTAGCCAGCACCTTTTTTTCTATAGAAGTTTACTGTTTATTTCTGTATATTTGATAAAGATTTCCCTTTTAGGTTATAGTTTTAGAATAATTCTGAAATATACATGGATATGTACATTTGAATAAATATGTGTGTATCGGTAGCACAAGTATATGCTTTCTCTCTCTTATGAAATTATTTTTAGAGTTGTAAATCCAGAGAGTAAAGATGTAGTTCTGTGGTAAGAGTGTTTGCCTAGTCTATGTGGGGCCCTGGGTTCAAGCTCCAGTACTGCCAAAAAGTAAAAAAATAAAACAAACAAATACATCTTTGGTGTCAGATTTTTATTTTTATTTATTTGTCTTTCTAAAGAAATGTATTACATTTATTTATGTATTTATTTATTTGGGGCACACCTGTGGAGGTCAGAAGACAACTTAGGGAATCAGTTCTCTCCTTTCAGCATGCAGGTGCTCAGATCGAATTTGTTGTCAGGCTTAGCAGCAAACCCCTTTAACCACTGAGCCCCTTAGCCAGCCCTTGTATTTTATATCTTTGAATTCTTTGAATGTAAGGATGACTTTTTTTATTTAATACCAGAGATATTTTTTTTCTCTTTGCTATGTTTCAGATGACCGCTTTTTAAAAGTTGAACTTGGTTTTATTAGTAAAAAATGTGTGGCCATTTTACAAGCCCTCATCACCCTTGTGAAAGCTTATATTTTGACAGCCCTGAAAGAGGGTCTCTTAATAACAAAATAAGCTTCCAGCTCTTCAAATCACGGGCCAACATCTCCACCACAGTTTTAGTGTTTATGGGTTCACTGTGACGGAGAAACAGCGTAAGGGAGATGGGATTATTCCAGCTCCCGGTGTGAGGATATAGTCTTCATGGCGGGGGAGGCATGAAGGCAAAGCCTGGCTGTGTCTGCGGGGACAGGAGGAGCGTGAGGCTGCTGGTTCACATCTCTGCACGCCAGAGGGAAGTGGGGCCAGGCTACAACCCCTTAGACCTCCTCCAGGGAGATGCCACCTCCCCAAAAGGGCCACCAGCTGGGGACCAAGTGTTCAAACACATGAACCCCTGGTGGTTTACATTTGTTTATATTTACATCCATAAATTATAACCACCACCACCATCAGGCTGGCTGTGGTCTCTACCATTTCTCCCCTCGACCACTGAAATAACTCCAGCAATTCACCACCAACTCTCATCTATTCTCTCTCTCTCTCTCTCTCTCTCTCTCTCTCTCTCTCTCTCTCTCTCTCTCCTCTCTCTGTGTCATTCTTTCTCTGTTCTGCTCTGCCCTCAGGTAATGCCATCTAGCTTCAAATTTGCTATGAAGCCAAGGTTGACCTTGAACTTTTAATCCTGCCTCCATCTCCTGAGTGCTGGGATTACAGTCACATGCCTCCATGCCCAACTCTTTTCAAATACCAATCTTGACTCCATCTCATTCCTACTTTGTGGCTGGCCCTCCACTCCTTTAACATAAAGACCCAATTCTGTGAACTGGCCTTTCTTGCCCCATAAAGTGTAGATCTACCAACTGGATAGCTCAGCCACTTCAGCTATTCCACAGTGCCTCTGAACTCTGACTGCACCCTCTCCCACCACTCTCTTCCAGTCCTTCAACCCTGCCCTCTCCAGAGCATGCACACCTCCAACCCTTCTCCAGCCTCCCTCCTGGCCACTCTGCCTGTTCCCTCCCACACACCATGCAGAATTCAGCTCTGGCTTCCTCCAGGTGACTCAGATTCTGTCCACATGCTCTGACCCTGGGACCAGGACCCTCTACGGGAGTAACTCCTGGGGAGGAACAGGGACCAGGGAGTGGGGAAGACTCCTGGAGTCCTGAAATTCAGGCTGTGTCATGGGGATGCATTCCTAGGCACATTTAGTTCTCACTGTCTCCAGGCACAACAGCAAAGCCAGCTCAAAGATTGTCTTTAGGGAGGATTGCAGGTGCCAGCCACCAGGAGCGGAGCACACAGAGAGACCAGAGAACGGAAAGGAGCAGCAGAGGGTCAAGTTGGATCGAGGACAGTGCCTGCTGCCCCTTGCCTGTCCACGGGTCTCCTAGAATTGACTCTGACCTCACCAGTTAGACCCCTAATGAGTGCTTCTGAACTGCTCCTCTGGGTAGACAAGAGTGACTGTTGAGAAACTTCCAAGCAGGTGACAGAGCGAAGGTAGGCTATAATGATCTTTTAATCAGCTTCAACCAATTGTCCATCAGTCATTCCTACCTGAAGCACAGGGCTGACTGGGAGAATGAGGCTCATGTGCATCCAGCAACCCCAGTGAAGGCAGAGTGGTAGACAGGAGATGGATTCTGCTCCACTCCAGCCTCATTTCTGGTACGCATCTCAAAGTGGGAGCTCCTTGCTCTGCTGTGTGGTCCCAGGATGCAGGGGTGTGTTAGCTGCAGGACACATGTGGACCCTCGACCTGGCTGGATCACATCATGTTCTGACGCTGTTAATGTGGAGTCCTGAGCTACAGTCTCAGAGTGCGGGGGCTTCTGTGAGTCTTAGAAACGGTGTCTCTGCGTGCTGATTTCCAAACTCAAGTCCCCAGCGTCCCTCTGCTGCAGAGAAACACCCTTGAGCTCTGAGGCCTGCAAAGTCCAAGCTGGTGTAAGTGGGGGAACTCGGCTTTCAGAAGTGATGGCTGCACCTGGGTTTCTGCCACAGAGAAGCCATTCTGTGGCTGTATGTTTGTTGCTAGATGGAAGCTGATATACTTCATGTCCCTGGGTTCTCTGAGGCTTAGGGGAAACTGGATTGCTCAGGGCTTGACTCAGAGGAAGAATGGCATCAGAATTCATATTTCTGGCCTGAAGATGTGAAAATGAAGCACATCCCTT